GCATACTAGGACGAATTCGACAGATACTTTAAAATACAGAATTAGAGTTTTTAAATCTGAATTATTATTCTGCCTTTATTAATTTCAGCTCTTTTTTTACCAACTTCCTTTTGCTTTTCTTTATCATCTTTGTCTTCTTCTTCACCAACTTCCTTTTGCTTTTCTTTATCAACTTCTGCTTCTTCTTTACTAACTTCTTTTTGCTTTTCTTTATTAGTCTTTTTAATAATTTTATAAAATGTTTCAAAGATTGTTGGTTGGGCAAGTACTTTTTGTCAAATTCAAATTTAATAATTTAATATGATCTTTAGTTGGATTATACTTAGAAAAGACAATAGCTACTATTTTAGACTTAGCCAGTCAGCTAAGACTAAAATAGCTAACCATTATTTTTTCTAATTATACATAATTTTTCAATAGTCATTACATTAACAGGCTATTTATTTGACATTACAAAGTAATAATTTACTAATAATATATATATTCATAGCTAACAAAAATGCTAATTCTAACTACTATATAATGTTAGATAATAGATTGTCAGTAAAATAACTATTGGAAAAATGAGAAACAATACTATACTTGTAGATAAACTAGTTCTAGTTGAAACTCTTTTTGTATAAGACCATATATAATACGCTTTATTTAGAAAGTTACTAGACCCGGCAATAGATTCATATTCTTCATCAGGATCATCAAGATTGTCATTATTGGAAGAGTTAATAGGATCATCAGAGTTTTTATTATTGCTATTAGTTTTGTCTATATTGATATCAATAGATTAGAATATAAGCCAAACCGATAAATCAGAAGATAGTAATGAAGTTCTATCTATTAAACTTAGGTATTTCTCAAGTGATATCTGGAGCATTTTTTTTTTACGAATGAAAATTTTTTGGCTGACTACAAAATTTCTTTCTATTGGAGATAAATTAACAAAAATTATTATTATTATTATTATTAAAAAAAATAATAATAATAATATTATTATTATTATTAAAAAAAAATAAATTAATAATAATAATAATAATAATATTATTATTATTATTATGTAAGCATTTTCAAAGAAAGAAGAAGACTTTAGGCTTTCTATTTTATCATTTAAATATTTATTAGAAACAATATATGTATGTCTATCAGGTAATCTATATCTATAAGGGAGCCTACTTTTATTAGATAATTTCGATTTACTAATAGCCCTACCCCTCCTTCACCTGACTCATATTTTAACCAATCAAATTGCATAAAAATTTTTTATAAAATTTTTAAATATAATAATTTTTAAAAA